TAACTTTATTAATTGGATTTAACATATAGATAAAGGTTAAATTCGTACATGAGGGGAAAACAAGGACCATCATTTTTCTAGATTTAGATTTCTAAAGATACATAATTTTTGTTAGTATAAAATAAGTAATGTCAGGTTTTATATTTAGATATTTATGAATTTTTTTAGAGTCATAAATTATGTAAAGTAACCAGAACACACGCTTTGGGAATAATAAATAACTCAGATGTGTAATTAATAGAACGAGGTGGAATAAAAACCAACACAAATTCCGAAATCTATATTAAATTCGTTTTTTTATTTCAGTTACTCTTGAAATTCGGCTCATCTCTTAGGTTTCTTTTTTGTTTTATTTATTTTTATTAGATTGTGGGATTGCAAATATGTCTCCATAGTCTAATTACGGTTAGATAAACTTGTATTTCATTGCATATCAGATTTAAGTAAATAAGTTTATAGATTTTCTGATGCGGTGATCGAGTTGTAAAGACATGACGTGAACCGTTCGTTTATCAAATTGAAATTTAGTAACGCGCTTCCTATTTGCCAAGTGGAGAGGACTGTGTGTTTCAACTAAAAAATCCTTTTTTCATTTTTTTATCGTTCTTTTTATGTTCTCTGCCTCTTCCGTATAGTTTTACGAATACGGCCAAATTGGTCACGTAAGCTCAGGCTGGCAACACAAGAACTTATGTAGACATTGTATTATTAGTGAGATAGTGAACGTTTGTGCACGTTGATGAGTGAAAGAGTTTTTGGACCATGATGAATGGACTCTTAATGTTTACCGTAAATTTAGACTGTCGTGCACTACGCGCCTTCCTAACTGAAATCTTTAAACTACCCTTCCCATCATAAACTATTTTTACTGTCTTATAAAGGTTGAATATTTTAAATAAATCTTACATCTCTTATACGAATCACTAGTGCTTTAAGAAGTATACGAGCGAATAAAAATACACACAAATCTATCTCATTCAAACTTCCGTCCATTTTACCGGCTATTCCTGTACCGTTTTAACCCACACATTCCTAACTATGAATTAAATCCCATGTACGCCCATGTAAAAAGTAACCCATAATAGTCTTCTTTAAAATTGCAGTCTCAGATTTTAATTGTGTAGCTTTTAATTTCAATTTTTTTTTTACCCCCTTTTTAAATATCAAAAAGGTAAATCCATATCAAATCGACCAGAATTTTCGAATGATCTTTTTATCACTTATTTGTAAAAATATATTTAAGATAATAGTATTTATAGTAAAAATTTAAAACTTTCATGGTTTTATTCATGAAGTCGTTGTGTCCTAATTCCATAATTAGCAATATGGGTTTTAACTTATAAGTTGTTATAATTAGAATTTTTAATTGACAGTTTCTACAAAATAACGTTAACTTCAGAGTTCAAATAGACTATGTAAAATGGTATTTTTCAATTAAGTTTTTTTTCAATATATTATATGCTATCACATTGAAATTTATTTGTGTTTTTAAAAATTTTACTCCCGCCATTTTTATTCGGACAAATTGAAAAAAAATCTATTTTTGAAAAGTTTTTTAAATTTAATTTTCCTTTAACAAAACAAAGTAGTATAGTATTTAACTATTCATTCATCACTGATATTAACATTTTTTTTTATAATTTTTGATTGTAACTTACTAAAATATTCCATTTTTTTTAGTTTTTTGCAAAATGTGGTTTTTTGGATATTGAATTTTTTTTTTATTTTCATTATTTAATTTTGGTTTATGTTTGTATTAGCATTATAAAAATTACTTTTTATATACAAGATACAAATCATAAACCACTTAATTATGTGGCTTATGATTTATGGTTAAATTATTTTGTGAGTAGTTACTCACAAATTTAATACAATATTAAAAAAAAAAAATTTTTCTAATTATATATAGGGTGTTTTGTGAATTATGAAATACTAATTTACTTGTAAAATAATAATTTCGAGATTTTTTTTTTTGTATTTTTTAGTTACATATAATCATTGTGATTTATCCACTATTAAATATTTTTTTAGTTTATTTCTTATGTGTTAGGTTTATTAACATTTTTTTTTTAATGAAAACACATTTTTAATTTAATAAATCATTAAAAGTATTTATTTTTTTCAATTTTACCGCTTAAAATTTTATAAAACTATTTTTATTTAATATAATAATATTAAGTTTAAATTATTTAAGTATAGTTATAGGAATACAGTGTTAACAAGTAAACATGTCTGCTAGTAAACCAATAAGAAGAGAAAAAACGGAATTATTTTTGTAACAATTGATTATATTTTAATAAATGAAATACAAACTAATATACGTATATTGCAAGTTAAAGATTATTAATAAACCAAAACTCCAGAAAAATAATTAAAAATCAACCAACTAAATAAAAAGAATATATTCTAAAATATATTAACGGGTACATCAATAGATATGAATTTGTCAAAAAAGTTCCTTTAATTTAATACACCATATTATATTTTTGCTTTGACGTCCGATTTTACATGGTAGAACAATCGTTAGAATAATTTTTTTTCATATATTGTTGTATAAATCAAAAGATTTAATTTGATATAGGTTAGAAATTGTCAGACCTTCCGGAATATTTTTAAAATATCGAGTTGAGAAAAGTTTTTTTTGATACGTGTGTAGTGGTTTCTTTTAAACTCTTATTACATTTTATTGGATTTTTATAAATAGTATACCTTCTCAGCTTCGTATCGAAGCTAAAATTAATCTAATTAAAAACCAATAACTTTTGGACCATTACTTCAAAAGTTATGGTAATTTCAGGATATAGATTAAAAAAGATGCGCGGTATAACTATTTATATCAGTAGAAATTTTTTGGCTGCACTCCTCCTGCTAACGTATAAAAATGTTTATACCTTTCGAAATACTGGTCTAAAATATGTTATCGATCAGTCATTTATTAATTAGTTCATTTCCTATTTTATAAGCTAATTAAAAATATATGTTACTACTTTAAAATAATAAACTTGTCATTCCTAAAAGATCCAAGGGATAACACTAACAGCACTAATAAACAATTAATCAAAAAATTTTTTTAAGTGGTATTTTCTTTTACCTAGTATTGTTTTAGCTTGTAAATATCTGGAATCTAAATATTTTTTTTTGTACTTTAATTAAAGAAAGAACAAAAAAAAAACTTATTCTTTTTACAAAATAATCAAACATAGTTTTTGAAATTAATATATAATTTGTAATGACGCACTTCAAACTAAATTTGAATATTGATTGTTCACAAAAACTCAATCATTGTTTTTTTTAAACTTAAGACATAAAAGAGCTCTACTTAGATAAATAGTATCGAATACCAATATTAAAAATGTGTTAAGTGTTGCACCAGGACTGGAAAGTGGTCATTAATTATCTACACAAGAATATTTCCGTTATCGAGAGAATTTACTCGAGAATATTCGTTGCATTATTACCCCTAACTCATGAATATAATATCATAATATAATATTTGATTATTTTTCACTTTTTTTTATAAAATGTTCAGTAAGTTCTTTTGTTATTATTATTTATAACAATTCATATGTTTCCTTACTTACTGAACACTCTGTATATAAATAAAGTAAATATAATCAAGTCAGTGACCCATTTAAGTGATTTAAATTAACTGTTTTATTCATAAATATTTCAAACCAGTCCCTTAAAACTCAGTAAATCACAACGCGCTTCACTTCTAGTTATTATAGTAAAATGTTAATAACTTCTAAAATACTAATCAATCTTTTTTTATAATTATATACTTGTAATATTTATCTTAAAAATTTGATCGAAATAAAAAATACTATTGAGTCGTTTGTTTTCTTTCTTATTGATTTTCCCTAGAAGTATAAGTATATATAATTGTTAAATATTGATCATTCCTTAAGATCTTATACAATTATTAAACTTATAGCGGTTTTTTTTTTTTTGAAAAAGCCAACTACCCAATGACCTTTGTCAAATCAACCAGTTTTTTTTTAACAATTCAGACTTGTGAGTACTGTGTTATTGTCGCTGTTATTTCTTATTTGATTTTGTTATATTTCTCTTTAAACAATTTGTCAATTTATTTTAAAGTATTTAATTTTAAAATGTTTACTGTAAAATATTGCACTATTGATACGACTTGTCAAGCCAACTTAACTTAGTCGTGCACACTACATTAACGTAATTAAAAAATATTTCTATATTCATTAAAAACTCTTATAAAACAAATAAAATTTACTTTTAATGTAAAATTATATAAATTATTTTGTTGAAAAGCTACTATACTTCGTCTTGGTTCATGTTTATTATTTATGTTATTTTTATTATTTTAAATATTTAAAAAATAGGTCATTGTATACATAGCTAATGGATTTTAAGTTTAATTAAAATATTTAACTTGGAGGAGTCATAAAAGTTGATTGTGACATAAAAAAAAGTTTCTTATTATAAAAAGAGTTGAACGAAACATGATATGAACAGAATAAGTGATTCGTGAATGGAGAAATTAATAATGTAATTTATCTAGTTGAAAAACGTATAAACATTTTAGAGAATGAATTACAAAATTGTAATATTTACTTTCTATGAAATCAATTTAATCAAATACAAATAATATCTTATATACAATATTTCTATTATAAAATACAGTAACTTATAACATTGTAATATGCTTGGCGCATACGTTTCTGAAGCAAATCAATATTATTGAAACTGATAAAAATGAACTTGTCTTATAAATTGGACTTTTCATTTTATGGTAGGTTATACATGAAATTCATTTCTATACATTTCATCAATAATCAAAAAACTCTACTTTTATGATGTACTAGCTTATGAATAAAGCTTCCTATTTAAAAAAAAAATCAAATGAGTAATACGCTATATAATTTTTACCGTAATAAAATAGTTCAGGACGAAAAATAACATACATTTCAATTATTATTGCAACACATGTGCAATTGCGTACATGTATTTGTTTTCTATGAATTTAGTTGGTAAGGAAACAATTTTGTTTTTTTATAATCAATTAAAGAAATACAAAAAACAGTAAAATGCAGTTCATTGACCATTATATTTTACATTCTTAAAAACAAAGTACTCAATGAATTCTCCAAAAGCGGTAGCTCGAGGTAATAACGTTCATTTCAAATATGTAATATTAAACTCATTTAATAAACTTAAAGCATTTAATTATTAATTAACAGTAGTGGAAAATTTCAACAAAAGCAAACTGAACTTTGTTCAGAGTCTAGCCGATTTAGCGTCTAGAGAAGCGCATGTAGAATGTTTACGCATAAATTTAGTAATTCAATTAGTCAGTCCGTTGGTGACTGATCCAAATCCAACGATCAGAACGAATCTAATACTTCTATTTAGCCGGATGGTTGGACACAGCGAAGCGAGTGCAAAGGATATACTCAAATCACCCCACACAATCACACAAATATTTGAATGTATTATTAAAGAAAATGTGAGTTAGTTACTCATATTCATAGACATGCTCTTTAAGATCATAGATATGGTAATTGATTGTAGAAATATTATAAAAAGAACTCTATGGATTTTATCAAGAACATATGTAAACATTCTTCTTCAATTGCTATTCCAGTAATAACAAAATATGGCGGTGTGAGTGCTATAATGATTTGCATGGATGATTTCGATTTGTTAGTCAGAGAGTCGGCGCTGCAAGCAATCTCTTCAGTTGCACGTCATGGGCCTGAACCAGTTGTTATGCTTGTTAATGCTGGTATTGTTTTGTAATTTTAAATGATTCCAGTAATTTTAAATTAACATTTTTTTTTTAATTAGGGGTTTTATCTCACATAACGATTTGTTTGAAAGAACAACATGTTAATTTGAAGTTGGCAGCATTAGTGGCATTAGAGTCCATTGCCAAACTTAATCCGGACATGGCTCAGGAAATAGTAGAAAGCTCTTCATTGCCGTTCGTTATCAGTTTGCTAGAACAACCTTGCATTAATATTAAAATTCAGGTATTGCTTAAACTAGTAAGAGATTTAATTTTTGTGTATTGTGTGATATCACATTTTAGAGGAACGCGCTCACGCTAATAAGGAGCATAGTTAAACACTCTTTAAGTTTAGCGGAAAATGCAATCGAAGCTGATTTATTTCCTTCAGTATTACATTTGATGGCACATCCGGATGAATTAACCCGTACACATGCAGCTCAAGTAGTCAGTGAATTAGTAAAACATAGTGTTCAGGTAAATATGGATTTAAAAAAGAATGAGTGTGAGCTAAATTTTGACTAGCATAATATTGGCATAGAATTTAAAACATCAATAATTTAGTTTTTTTGTCTAACTTTTTAACAGATTGCTCAATTGGTAGTAAATGCTGGTGGGATAGCTTCACTAATGAATGTTATAAAGCTGAGTAAAGAATGTTCCCCAAATTCAGCAATCCTCGCAATTGGTTTTATTTCCGCAATGTCAACATTATTAGCAAGAGTAGTAATTCAATCTGAGGTAAGTTGAGCTCAAGCAAACGTCACATAATACTTTCAAAATATGAATTATTTGTGTCTAACAGGTGCTGTTACTTTTTGATAATGTTTTGGAGAGCAATGTTGGTGACATTACTAAAGCCGATGTTGTTTGGGCTATAGGGATGATCGGTCAGCATAGCACTGAACATTCTAGAGAAGTTTGTGCACGAAAAGCACTATGCTTCATGATAGACGTAAATTTTTCAAAATGTTGACAATATTTATCTAAATTTATGAAACGTGAATTTAAAAAAAAAACTATTAATAAAATTTTGTTCGATAGACAGTAAAAGATTCCAAGTCGGGGCCTGAAATTAAAAGCAAATGTATGAATGCTCTTATATTAGTACTGGAGAAATGCGATAATTTAACTACTTTAAACAATCTATTGAACTTGTCCACCCCTACAGCGATAATTAAATGTATTCTCAATCAATTTATAAAAGTAATTTTATTTCATGTTTAATATTTTAGACGTTTTGAGTAAATTTATATAAATACATGTAAATTATAAATCGAATATTGAATAACAGATATTGTCGAAGAATGCAAAAGCCAGACGAAACTTTATTGAAAATGATAATCTTAAAATGATTCAGGAATTAATGAAAATACCTGATTCCGAATTACATAAGAGTGTACAATCAATTAACTGTTTTTTCCCCGGAGACATTGTTCAGTAAGTTAACGAAATTGTTCTAAACGTATTGATTAAGCTAATCTAAATACGTATTACAAATTATAGAATAGTAAGTGGAAATCTTCCAGAGTCAGTAATGCAAAAAGTAGACTCGTATCAGCCGAAGAGTCAATGTATATTTTATAACCGTTCACAAAAAAGTGAAATATCTAATTTAGACAATACGTCTTTTGATGGTGAATTAGCTAATGAATAGATTTTACTAAATTTTTATTTAAATATATTTGTAGATTTTTGTGTTATTATTCTTTTTTAGTAAATTTTATCTTTAATAATATAAATAAAAGGCTTTAAAAAATAACTAGAATAACTTAAAATCAATAGAGAATCATCAAAATAAACTATATTTAAAAAAACATAATTTTTATTTCATTCCAAAATTAACAACCACATGTAAACAGTGTCATAGAAAATATAGTATATTTCGTACATAATTATTTTAAAGAATAACGTCTAAAATCATAATTTTATATATTAACCAATTATTTTTAAATTAAATACTTATTTATTTTTAAATTCTAATAAAATAAGTGTTTATAGTCAAAATAAATCAATATTAAAACTGTGAATCTAATATTTCTGAATATCTATTGTTTATGTTACGAAATTGTAGATCCATAACGGTTTCACACGTGCCAATGACTTGAAATGTCATTTCTACAGTTTTTCTAAAACTTTCAACAATTGTAACTATACTTTCAAGAGATTTTTCGTTATATGACAACGTTTTATTATCTTGTTTTTTTTGTGTAAAGGTTTTATTGTCGTTTGATACCAAATTGTCACTATCATATTTGTTAATCAGTTTATTTGATAAAATTATTGTATCTATTGACGTTTTTTTGTTAATGCACATATTTTAGTTTGTTTTACTGGCTGACAAATATGGAAATTAAATAATAATATCAATCAGTATACATTTAAAACATTAAATATGTCATTAAATTATTATTTATATATATATAATCATGTTATAGTTGTGTTGAAGTATTTGAACAATATGCATTAAAAAAATAAAGAATACTTATTGTGTATAGTTCTTAAGAATAATATATCAGCCAGTAATTATATTAAATAATAGCTATTAATCTGGGTTTCATGTTCACTGTTTTATTTTATAACCAGACCGATCTGATAGCCTGAGAGTAGCTTGATATATTGTGGCATGGAAAAGGGATTTCAATGGTCACACATGGTCGATTTAATAGAAAATGGCAGTGAAGTGGTCCTCCGGGGTTACCTTTAAAGTTTCCGCCTGTTTTTTATTTATGCGAGGTAACATTATAATTTTTTTTTCTACGCAGCTGTCCAAATTGTAGATGGGAATCGTTTACTATCAAATCAAGAGTGCCCCTTTAGAGAGTTTCAAAAATCCCCAAAATGCTCTATGGTATTATTTTCATAATTACTCCAGATAAAATTACTTTTTCTTTGTGAAAATATCTTGTTAAGAGTTTGCCAAAGTCCCTTGATACAAATTTAAATAACCTCAGGGTATAAATTAAAGTAAACACGTTGGTTCGTTTAGAATACAAACATTGACATATTAGTAAAATATGTAGTTTTTTATTTACATATCCTTTAAATAGGATTATAAAACTCAATTGCTAATTTACTATATTACTGAACTATGACATAATAAACTCAATTTTGAAACATTCATATTCATTATTAAATCTTTTTAGACCATTTATATACTATATTTACTACATTTATACATAGTTTTAAACAGTAGGTACGCAAACAGAATATTTTTTTAATTATTTTTGTATTATATCCTTTGATTTTATGGATGAGTTGAAAGATAAGCCTATGAAAAAACACGAATTATCAGAAAACAAGAAACATAATTTAGCTCTAACTCTAACAATAATATTAAGATTTATTTTTATAATTTTGTTTTTATATTCACTCCAAAAGATGTAGAGTTATTTTGGTATTTTACGAATTTCGCTGTAACATTGTTACGCAATACACGTTTTTTAAAAATTTAAGTTAACACTTTAAGCTGATGAGTTTTTTAAACGAAACACCATCATTTTTATGACTGCAGCCAATATTGAATAAAAATCGTCATAATTTGGTCGTAAAGATTATTTTATTATTTATTTAGTGGTTTTCTCGTGTTTGTTGAAGTGGAACGATTCAAATTTCTCAAGTCAGTCAATTTTATGAGACTTTAATGTTTAAAGTCAAAAAATACCACTATGCGACTTTTTAGTGAAAGTGATATACTTTATAGTTATTTCTAAAGCTATAATCCTTAATGGAAATTATTAGAGTTTCTATATTGTCTCAGTGTTTAATCTCTATTACGTAATGATAAAATACAACATTTCACATTAATAATAATAAAATAAACTATAAATAATATATTAAAAAATTATTTTAGGTATTTTAAGTTTCATATATTTCTTGATTTATCAGTTATTAATTATTTTTTATTTTATCCCTCATACCTTTTATGGGTGTAAATTAATTATTTTAAATAGTAATATACGATATATTTAACAAATCAAAAATAAAAAAAATATTCATATAATTAAGAAAATGACTGGTCAATAACAATTTTTAGATTAGTACTTCAGTAGTTATGATGATTTTAAAATATAAAATGGAGATTTATTAGTTAATTTCCTTTTTTAAAAGTTAGTTAACTATCTAAGTTACCATTTATAAAAATAAACTTGACACTATAATAAATCATGACGGATCATTCTAAAAATTAAATAATAGTTGATAGATTAAGAAATATATTTAACTAAAAAATGTTTTAGTCAATATACTTTTAAAATACAGTAAGGGAAAAAGGCCACTTTTCAAATTTTCCAGAAGAGATTACTTTAATAGTCTCCCCTCGTTTGAAGAAATTTCTTATTCATGTTAAAGTATTTTTACTATGTGATTTTTTTTTTGTGGCTCTCATTTATTTTCTTAGCTCTCGTATGACCAAATTTTTTGAATGATGCATCAAATGATCACAACTAGAATCTAGTTAAAGATATTACCCTCAAAAATTGAAAAAAATTCCCTTTATCTAATAAGTTGTTTAACCAGCTTTTTCTATATAGACAATAAAAATCATTAATTTCTAATGATTTTAAAGTATTTATTGTCGAATTAGATTTGATATATTATCATATCAAATCTAAACATCAAAAGCTACTGAGAAATGATTACTATGATTTTAATTAATTTATTAGTTTCGATGCGAAGCTGAGAAGGTATTAATTTTACTATGATGTGATTTTTTTTTATGTCTGTTGCCACTTTTTCTCAGCGCTCACTGGACCGATTTCTTTCAAAAATACGTCAAAAGATCACAAATTGTATCTAGTTGGAGACATTATCCTTAAAAATTGAAAAAAATTCCCTCGTTTCCCGAAAATGGGAGAAATATCCAAAAAAACCCAGCACAGGGGGGTCGCGGCACAGTGGTGACGTGGCATAGTTGGATCAAGTATAATGATATCTGACAGTGATTAAAATCACTATAAAAAAAAAACGCTTCGATGCAAATCTTTAGATAGTGTTTAATTTTAAAAAATTGGTGGATTATTCCAAAAGCTTCATAAACTGCTAGTTCCTTATTAATATCCTGATTAAGACAAAGTATGTAGAATAAAAAAGAGATTATTAGAAAATAGTATTTCCCATAAAAAAATTATATTGATCAATACACTTTTCAATAAGTTATAGCATTATAATGTTAAAAATGTAAAAAATAAAATTGAGAATTTTCACACAATAATAGCATTTGGTAGCCATTTTCACCTTGAAGATAAAATAAAGTCCGAAATTTTTTTTTTCCATGATAAAGTATATTACATTAGCTTTAATTTAAGATATATATAAAAGTGTCAGACCTTCCGGAACATTTTCAAAATTTAAGTTAAAAAAATTAATTTTTTGTGAAAAAGTTGTCATTTTAAATCCCCCCTTGTGGGCAGGTTAAGGGTTAAATTTATGAAAAAAATATACCAAATGAAAGGTAATGATATTATGCAACTATATAAAAAAGAATTAT